ACGAAAACTTTGACTCTGTAATCTTATTGCATTTACAATAAGATTATTTACTTTATTTCTTGTTTATTGTTTATAATTTAAAACTAAAATTGTAAACAGAGTTTTGTGCAAATAACCATGATGTGCTTTTATTTATTATTTCGAATAAAACCAACAAATATTGATTAATTTTAAAATAATCAGGATCTGCCATTCAAATCCGTGGACCGGAGCCATATTGTGGATTGACAAATAGTTTTCAGCCGAAATAAGACGCTACTGGAGCGACAATTCAGGTAACCGTCAGTCTAAAGAGCTGGTTCATCCGTACAGTTATGATAAGGTATCCTTCTGCAGCAGAACAGAGTTGAGGTTACTGGTGGGATATTTAACGGGTCACTATGGACTGCATTATTATCTTAACAAAATGGGTCTGTCCAAAATGATAAATAATTGACTGTGCTTAGAAGCAGACGAGACTTTCAGTCATATTCTCTGTGACTGTCTAGCCTTGATCTGGGCCAGGAGGAAGGTCACGGGGTCGAGCACTACTTTCCTTTGACATTAGGAGGTCCTCAACGGTCGACATTCTGATCTTCATTAGGAAGGTGAAATGCCTTCTGTTCGATTAGGGTCTGTTGCAGCACAAAAGATCAATCATGGTCGCAGTGCTCCACTCCGTTGGGAGCTAGTAATCCGTTTATTCCTATACTAGTAAAATCTCATACTAATTTTTATTACTTATTTTTCTTCATTATAATTAAATGAATAAAACTTAGGTTTATATATTAACAATATAGTTCAGATATTGTCTCCGTCAGAATAATGACAATATGTAGTGTCAGGTACAAAACCTTCAAAAAAATTATATTCACAGTAAGCAATTGATTGAACTTTAAAGAAATTTTTTAAATAATTAATATTGTTAATTAATTATTGTTGCCGTTCAATATCTTCCAAAGAGACTTCACAAGCAGATTACAGCGGGTTACTACAACGACAACAACAACATCTAGACTGCCATTGTAATCTTACCTAACCTTATACATAATCAACTTTTACATTTGCTCATAATTTGTGTATTTTCTCCATGTATCTAAATATTGTAAATATTGTAATATTGGCCTCGGTTGTAGTTTTTCCTAAACCGGACAATAATCCCTTATTGCCGCAAAAGTGGCGCCCTATCAGCCTGATCCCAACTCTGAGGAAGCTGGCAGAACGAGGAATCCTGACAAGGCTTAAAACAGCGGTGAACTTTCTAAATATCCTTCCGGACAAACAACTCGAGCTTAGGGACAATCTCTCCACAGAACTACAACTAACCAGAATAGCGCTCAAAACTTAAGAAGTTTTGAAATATAATTTAATTAGTTTTTGCCAATTTTTCATGACCAATTAACAATTGAAATACAATTCTGAACAAACTCCGTCAAACATAAACAAAACTGTTCATGTTCGTTTTCAACTTCATTTGTATTTTCCTGTCTGTGTTTCTGTGCCAGCCTTCACCAGAATACAAATTTAACTTGGACTAAATATTTAGTTAACTGAAGTATTTCAAATTGAGGTTTTTCAAATTATCAAAAGTTTCTCATTTTAAAAGTTCATCAAAGCTGCTCTTTTTACCATTGACGGAAACGGAAAAACTATTCTACTCCATAGCAGACAAAATGGCGTACAATTTCGTACATCAATCACGAGTTTGGTGAAACGTTATATGAATTGTAAAGAGGAGCAGCACTGCATAATGAATGCAAAACAAAGTGAGACCGCATGAGTGAGACCACAACTGGCTAAACGTTGAATGCAAATGTGATATAAAAGTCCAATTTAAATGAAAATCATTGACAAAAGAAATTTAAACAATTGCAAAGTATAAATCCGAAAGACATCAATTGGAACACAATTGCCGCACAAAGGAGAATAAAATGCAAATTTCCCTTCAGTGAAAACTCTGTAGAACTACAGAAAACCAAAAAACACAAAAAAGGAATGAATTGAAATAAAAGCAAGAAATCGACAAAAATGTGTAAAATAAAGAAGAAAGGAGAAAAACTAAAAAAAATTAGGATCAAATGCGTCTACTGTTGGCATCAAGAATACAAGGATACAAGGATTCCTCCTAATGTTTGTGTTTCCAAAAAGCTTCGAAAGACTGAAGTTTTTAGTTTTCGATAAAGATTAACCAATCTAAGGTTTTTTGGTGAAGCCAATAAGGATTTTATAATTTATCATTCTATTCATCTGTCTGTATGGAAAATGTGATGGAAAATTGTATTTGTAATTAAAGTTCATTTACCTTTTTAGTAGCTGTGAACCATTTGTAGAGCATAAGAAGAGAATTCAAAGCTTGGATTGTAGTATCAATTAGATTATAATGCAATTTTTCACAAAAGTGTTTTCACTTAATACTCTTTGAAACTATAATCACTGTATTTCAGACAAGTAATCTAATTAAAGTAACAATCGATATGCTAAAAACAAATATATAGTGTTGTAACGAACCTTTTTCGTCGAGGTTTCGCTCGCCGGATTCTAGGTTCAATCCTACAATAAATTTATTTGATGGGGGAGCAGTGGAATGTTTGCGATGGTATGACGTATAACGTAGACAGAGGTTTTACTACCTAAATCTAGGTTTCTCTGTTGTGAAATCAATGGATTCATAGTAAAAATGCAAATTTTTGCCACGCCTCATACGATTACTAACGAAATGGGTATTTCGTTTGTCCAGGAACGATTTATTGGTAATCGCAAATAGGAATTGTCACCACCTTGGAAATGGTTACTAACGAGGTGTTCAATTATTTAGTCAAGGCGCAAAGAGGGAGTTTGAAGAAACCTAGCAGTTAGTAGAGAGTAAAAGTGCTCAGGTGTACTGGCTCAACTTGTCTCAACATAATAATTTATATATAATAATTATATAAATATTTATATGTAATATAAATGCTATTCAAAAGGTAAAAATTCAATATAATTCATTAAAAAATATAAATTCTTGCTTTATGATTCAAAAATTTAAATAAGAGTTGAATGATGTTATTAAATAAGTATATACAATTCAAAAGATTGACATAAACCACTACGTTTTTTCAATATTAATTAATTATTATGAAGCAGTTTAATGATCCAAATGATATTTAAAAGAGAGCGTAAACAACTACATTTCCGAATTTTTTATGTAATTATTATAAAAAGGTCCAATGATCCAATTATTTAATGATCCAAAAATATAAGTAAGAATTTAATACTATTATTGTTGATTTACATAAGATACTTCATTTCTGAACTTTTATTTAATATTTATAAGACAGTCCAATGATCCAATTACTTAATGAACCAAAAAATATAAATAAGAATTTAAGGATATTATTGTAAGTACATGATTAAAAAGATTGGCATTAACTACTATATTTCTGAACTATTATTTAATTATTATAAAATAGTTCAATGATCCAATTATTTAATGATCCAAAAATATAAATAAAAATTTAATGATATTATTTAAAAATTACATGACTCAAAAGATTAACATTAACTATTGCATTATGAAATTACTATTTAATTTTTGTAAAACAGTTCTATGATCCAATTATTTAATGATCCAGAAGCTACAAACAAAAATTTAATGATATTATTGTAAAAATACACAAAATTAAAAGGATTGACATAAGTCACTACTGTTCTGAAATCAAATTTAATTATTAGAAAACAGTTCAACGATCCAATTATTTAATGATTCAAAAACTACAAATAAGAATTTTTTTTTTTTTTTTTTTTTTTTAAACATACATTTATTTATTGCATCTTCTCTTAAAATAAGACTAACAATAAGTTGTAAAATCTTATAACTAATTACATAATGTTACAAATTTTTATTTTAATTATACATTGTATAAAATAAAATAAAATAAGTAAACCTTATATCACGAACCTCACTTAGATTAATGGGTTAAATTTCATTAAAGTGAATGTTAGGTGGTTTCTTAAGAAAGTGGTTCAACTTTAACAGATTACTAAAAAGAAAGGTGCGGTTTTTACTTCAAGCTGTTGAATATTAATTAACGGATGGACGGTCAGTTCTTTTTAGACGGGAAGTAATGGATAGAAGTGCGAGATTTCTTGCTAAGGGATTAACATGCTCTGTCAGCCTTTTATTATATTTTTTTCTTATATTGTCAAATTCAGCTTTAACTAGGGGAATTTGTAGATCTCGGTGTATACTTTCATTCCTAATATACCATGGGGCACCAGTGATAATTCTTAGTATTTTTGACTGACAAATAAGAATTTAATGATGTTTTTATATAGGAACATGATTCAAAAGATTGGTATTAACTAGTACATTTCCAAATTAATATTTAATTATTTAAAAACAGTGTTTTTCTATAAGAACATGATTCAAAATATCGGCATTAACTACTACATTTCCGAAATACTATTTAATTATTATAAAAGAGTCATTGATTATTAAAATATTTTCTGCTTTCCAAAATCTCATTATACAATCCTAAAATTTCTTTGGAACATTATATATAATACATATTTTCTGCGAATTATCTGAGAATGCAAAAATTTATACCAAGCCAAAATGGTTTTACTAATGCTCCCATTCATGGTGCGGTGAATGTGTCCATGTGTGGAATTTTTCCGGCACGATTGCAATCAGAAAGCCAAAGTATTGAGCACATCAGTGCGGACAGTTTAGTGCGATTTCATTACAAAACGGAAACAGGCAAATTTCCATTCAAATAGCAAATGTCTACGACGAAAAATGTGAAAAGGATTTTAACATTTGTGTATTTGCCACATTTGCTATGCCCAAAAGGATGATGCAAGCACACAAATATAAGTGCAAGCACATACACACATACAAACACATAAAAACTGTGTAACACCGAATACCACAGCAAACACACGAGACACAATAGCCACATTTTTACCATTGCCCGAAAAAAAGGGAAATAAAAGGACTTTTATAAAATGAAAACAAAATGTAACAAAGAACTTAAATCCTATCAGATTTTGTGTGCGATTGCAGCAGCCAACTCCTTCATTGACTTCGTCAGCGTAGGTGCTTTAAACGCTGCAGTCGCAGCAACCACCGCAGTAGCCGACGCATGAGAAGCAGCTAGCACAGCACTGACAGCAAGGACAGCAAGGACAGCAAAACAAATACTGTAATCGAATCGTACAAATTAGATTCATTTTGAAAATTGAAATTGAAGCAGATTTGCTTAACATGACTGTATTAGTGTGCAGGACTTGTGTGCAATAATGGCCGCAGTTATAGTTCGAATGTATATGCATGCATTTTTCAGTGTCCTTATGCTTTTGTTAAAAAACAAAGGTGACTTTAATGCGAACTCTGAACACTATTTACTGTGCACTATGCACTGTGCACTGTTCCCTATTCCCTGTTCATTGTCCACCACCCAACGAACACTTTTGCAAAATTGAATTACAAAAATACTGGAATTATGTGCTTTTGCCATGCAAAATGCTTGGTTTGATGTTGTGTCATTTCCTGATACGAAAATTAAATTTTTCAAATTTTGATCCAATTAGAGTTTTGATTACTTTTGTGCTTTCATCTGCAGTCAAATTTAAATTGTACATTTTGCATTCTACATTTTACATTTTACATTTTCATTTACATTTCAACATTTCACACACACACATACAGCCACATAAACAACAAAACAATAAAAAGTAAACAAGAGCAAGGATTTCGTATCATCGTCATTCGCTGTCGCTGTCTAACGTAGAAAATTAAAATTTCACAGTAAATCCTCCACATAAATGAAGTTCGTCTCGTTCAACAGTGAAAGTCTGTGAAAGTCAGTGTCCGTCAAAAATGAAATTATGCTTTTTGACTATTAAAAATTTTACTCTTATTGCGCTCATTGTGCATTATTTGCTATTTGAAATCTTATTTGACAATTGTAGAAATTTCTTAAAATTCAAATAAAACAGTGCCATTTGCTAGTAAAATGCATAAAAGAAAAAATTAAATAAAACAAACTGTTTGAGTCTGATTCGGGCTTTTGCCTTGTGGGGTTTGATTTTCGAAATCGAAATATGCGCAATCAATGGCATCAATCATTTTAAGATTAAAGTGAAATGAACTGTGGGTAAGGAACGTCAAACATGCTCGTTCACCATAAAAAAACGGAGACTTTTTACTTGTCGTTTCTTGCTTAGCATTGGTCACTTCATACGTTCTGTTACATTTCTATTTGCTGTGCTCCTTAGCTTTGGGCGGCAATATGTTCCTCTACTACAGTGTTCTTTCTGTTGCAAGCAATACACTACACTGTACTCCTTATGTAAGTACAACCAACATTTTAAGCTTATTGTATTGACTTCATTTTTTACATTGGTGCTTATGTGTGTGTACGGGTGTGTGTGTAAAAGTACTTACATGTGTTCGACTGCTTCTAACTGATTGCTAGTTTATTGCAATGTTTAGCTAAGAATATTTTTTTCTCCACATTTTTTCATTGTTTGTTTGCCTTTGCTGGCAATGCTCCGGCATTGATTCACTCTTCCTCCACTTGTCCCTTTTAACCTACCATTCTTCAAGCGTTTAAGCACTTTTGTATTGAGAGTGACAAGTTGTTTGTCACTTTGCTCTTTCATTTGACAGATTAAACTGGTGTTTTGATGTGAATTGGAATGTGGGAATATATGAGTGCCTAAATATATTTATTATCAGTCATTTCCAGGAATTGATTTAATTTTATTGTGCAATTTGTTGTTGACTTAATAAGCAAATTTATTTACAATCTGAAAGGTTCGATGAAAGTCAACATTTTTTTGTATTCGATTTAAAGGGAAATATTATAATGCCATTACTGTCGACATTTATTTAAAGAGAGATTTTTCAAATGTCATGGTAAAATAAATTTTATTTTTATTTTGAATTTTTCTTTTTCTTTTGATAGTGAAAATGTTATAAACACGTTTCTTTCTCGATATATAGTAGTAGGGGTATTGATGAATTATGTAAATGTTTGGTGTTTTGGTACAAGCTTCCAATCAACTATTGTAGGTTCTTCAATCAGAAATTTGAATGTAATAATGCACCTTCAAAATAACTTAACTTCCGAAATTATAATTTCTTTTGTGCGAGTTCGTGTAAATTGAGGTTATATAAATTGAAATTTAGTAGGAATTTTTTGCACTGCACTTATGTAAATATTTGTTTATTTATTTATTGCATTTATTTACTTATTTATTAAATATCTTATAAAATTTTCACAATGGTAACACCTAATTTACCTAATTTTTAACTAATTTACCTTATTCAAATTCTAGTAAATACGAACATTAGCTGCCATACCGACATAATTTACTATTTTCCTCAATTTACTCGAACTCGCCTACATTTTATGTCGATTAGTCATAGTTAAGAATTTATAGGTTGATTTTTTCTATTTTTCGGGTTAACATATCCCAAAAACAGTCAAATTGGTTGAATTTTTGAACAATTTTTTATATATTGCGGGTGAACGTATCCCAAAAACAGTCAAATTGATTGAATTTTTGTATTTTTCGGGTGAACATTTCCCAAAACAGTCAAATTTTGGCTAGAAATCACAAATATTTCCCTAACCTTGCTTCTGCTATACGAAATGGTATAGCCTAAACAAGATCTCTTGGTTGAATTTTTATATTTTTCGGGTGAACGTATCCCAAACATATCCTTTCGTATTTGTTTCCGGAGATAAAAACCTTTCATTTATAAATCTATTCATATTTGTTTACGAAATGTTAATAATTTCTATTTAATAATTCCGTGTATAATGTAAACAACATAAACAGGCTTAAAATCAAATAAGTGAAGTAGAAACTAATGACCCATATAATTTACAGTTCAAAGCTTTGTAATACACAAAAATTAATGAAAATATTGTTTCATTATTGTAAATATTGAAATCATTTAATAATTGATTTATTTATTTATTATAATTACAAAAATTATGGTCACCTACCTTTAAAATTATAATAAAAGTATAAAATTTTTATTATCTTCTATATAAAGTTATTATTAATTATTATTATTAATTATTAGTATTACATAATAATTGTATATATTTTTTTATCCGAACATTAATTTAATTTTTTTTTACATATTTTTATATAGTTGATATAATATATATATTTCATTTTTAATAATTTATGAGCGGGCTTAATGGTCAATTAAATAAAAATAAAAAAAAACTATAATTTATTATTTAACAAATTATATTTTATTTATATATTTTATGAATTATATTTTATTAAAATATGACTTGTTTTAAATATAAATAATAAATTTTAGTTTTTTTATTTTTATGTACATGACCAATTATTTAAGTAATATTAGATAATATTTTTGGTCAAAAAAGAAAATATTATACTTTATTTATCAAAAATTTTCAAGGAAAAATGAATGATAAAAATTATAATAAAAATTTAAGCAAATCTTTTGGTAATAATTTGGCAGGGCACGAGTTCAATCCCTGGTGCTTCAAGTCCCTTAAAATTATTCACGAATAATTAAATACAAGAAATAATTCCAAGATCAATAATGATGCGTATTTGACAATACTCGAAACTAAAGTCAGCCAAAAATTCAATTAAGTAAAATAATATAAAATGAATTATATATAGTTCCTTCCTTTTCAAAACATCTCTAACAAAATCTTTTTTTAAAAAAAAGGCGTAGCGCTCCAGAGCGAGAACTACCTAAATTGTAAAAATTACCATATTTAAAATCTATTTATTAAAAATTGTAGAATATCACATTATTTGACGGAATACATATAAAATTATAAATTAAATAAAACAAATATGCAAATTTTTTTAGTTTAAATATTTTATATATTGTATATAATATAAATATTATATGTATTTTATATATTTTCATATTTTATATATTTTATATATTTTACATACTTTCTATACTTTATATATTTTATATATATTATTTAATTTGTATATTTTACATAATTCTTATATTATATTATATTATTATTATATTATATTTTATATATTTATATACTTTATGTATTTTTAAATGTTTTACATATTTTATATATTTTATAAATTATATATATATATATATTTTATTTATTTTATATTTAAATATTTTATATTATAAATTTATAAATTTATTTATATGTTATGTATTTTAAATATTTCACATATTTTACATATGCTTTAATCTTTTATATTTTATATATTTATGTATTTTATATATTTTATTTAGTTTATATATTTTATATATATATCCTAAATGTTTTTTATCACACATATTTTATATTTTATGAATTTTATATAATTTTATATATTTTATTTAATTCGACTTAATTCAAAATAAATCACTTGGCTTCAATCATGGTTACGAAAATTTTTCATTTCATTTTTCACATTTGTAAACAAATTTATCAGTGTAGGCTACATCACATCACTGCCCACTGAAATCCTGTACACGAACCTATCAACTACAAAATCCACTCTCCATCTCATAATTTGTTTTAATCTTTGCTGATGTGCCAATTTCATTCACCTTAAGATTAATTTTCACTTTTTTTCATTATTTTGGATTCTTTATATATATTCGTTCATCGCCGTTACCATCGTTGCTAGCACTGTTGTTGTTGCTGTTGTTGATTTATAAAACATTTTCCTTTTTCACGCCTATTAACATAATTAATTAGATTTTTCTCCTTATCGCGTTGACCTTATCCCTTTTCCATAAAATTAGCTCTGCATAAATCTTCGGTAAACACTAAAAACAATATCAATATTGTTTAATCTAAACACAAAATTAACTCTCACTGAACACACCAATCCAGGTTTGTGTGTTTGTATCAAACACAGGTAAGCTAAAGCTCACAACTTTTAGCAGCACATGCAGCATATATTACGGCGACCATTTGTTGCGATTGTGTGTAAATTTGTAAGGAGTTGCTTGCGTGTAAGTGCGATTGTGTGTTTTATTGTTTATTTTCGCACATAAACATGCATAAATATTTCGAGTATAAATCGCAGCAGAAAACAAAGCATATTCACAATATGTGTAATTGTGAGTAAATTTCAAGGGGATGGGTAAACTGTATTGTTTGTGCTTAAATGTTACAATGGAATTTATCAGTAAATTAAGCAATTTATTTTATTTATTCAATTTT